AAAAAAAAAAAGAAGAGAGACTTATAGTAAGGACAAAAATATATGGAGAAGTTGAGAAGACAGAATAATTGAGAGGGGCAGTTAACCACTGAATTGAGATTAGATCATCTGCTTTTGGTAGGGTGCACTGCCAGGCAACCCTCAGGGTAGAGCTGAAATTACTAGAAAGCATACCCTCTAGTCATCTTCTGAGCTATTTCCCTGTTGGTAAACAATTATGTAAGGACTTCAGGATGAGACAGATATAGTGAGACAGAGTAATGCCCAGCTGGGATTCTGAGAGGCAGCTCCCAGCTTTCACTTTCATTCAGTTTGGGAACAAGGGGACTCCCTCTTGGCTTCTCAGGTTTTCTGAGTGCTGTTAGCACTTTATGTCAGAAAAGCAAGACTGCAAACCCAGCCAGTAATGTCCTTCTTTCATAAAATGTGAGAACAAGACAGAGGTGACATTATTTCTATCTTCCATGACTTCTTAAAAAAATGGTGAGAAACAGTAACATCAGCATTTGCTAATACATTCACCTAGCAGTGCTTTGTCTGTAATATACTATGCTCTGACATACGATGAATCACAGCCAACTCAGAGTTTTTTATCCTGCATATAAATAAATTGAACTTTCCCCCTTTCTTATTAAAAGGCTAAAATGGCCATTCCAGAAACAGTTCTCAGAGAGGAAAATTATAACAAAGACACAAGGGATATTCATGGGCTAGAAATCACAGTAGCACGTGGGAATGATGAGGTAGGAATAAGGCCATCTGTCCCCAAAAAGGTGACAGGATCAATAGTCCAGCTGAAGTACATCTACACCAGGGCATGCAACGTGGGCAACAGGGGATCCATTTGAAGCCATTGCACATCAGGAAAATGACAATATAGTTGCCACTATGGAATCATGGTAGGATGATTCACACAACTGGAATGCTGTGTTGGATGTCTATGATCTCTCCAGAAAGGACAGTGGAATGTCTCTGTATGTTAGAGAGTGGTGTGACTGTCTTGAGCATAAGGAGGGTGATGATATGGTTGAGTGTTTAATGAGTAAGAATCATGCAGAAGGTCAACAATGTAGATATCATAGTGGGATTCTGTTATAGACGACCCAGCCAGGATCAAGAAGTAGACCAAATATTCCCACTTGCTCTCATGGGAGACTTTGTCTTACCAGATGTCTACAATAGAGCGGAGAGGAAACAGTCTAGGAAGTGTCTGGAGTGTGTGGAAGATAACTTCCTGGCACAGCTAATTACTGAGTCAATTAGGAAAGGCTCCCTGATAGACCCGTTTGTTTACAAACAGAAAGGACTTGTGGGAGATGTGAAGGGTGGAGGCTGTCTTGGGAATAATGATCATGAAGTGGCAGAGTTTTCAGTTGTTCTGGTTCTGTGTAAAAAGGGGTTCAGGGCAGGACCCACACAGAACAGAGCTATGTACTCACCTCCTCCCCCCCCCAGAGAGAGAGAGAGACTTTGAAAAAAAAAAAAACAATTGGGAGTTAAATGAAAAAAAAAAAAATTAAGTATATTGTTTAACAAGGAACAGAAAACGAAAAAGGGAGGTAAGAAAAAAATATGTACAAAGATTAGGGGAAATACAAAAAATAAACAAAATATGCAAAATCCTCAGAAATAGTTCCAAGGTCCCACGGAGCGAAAGCACAACCTCCACCTCCGAGCTGCAGGTCAGGAGTGAAGTTAGCACCCACTTCCACTTCCTGCCTCTCATCCGAGGAATACAATGGTTCACCCCCCCCTGGGGTCCTCCCAGGTGCTGGAAGGTCACACCCCCATTCCAAGCCTCAAACCACAACATCAATCCTTCAGGAAGTAAGGAGGGGAAGAAGACTAACCTAGCTGAACGGAGAGCTTTGGCTGAACTCAGGAAGAAAAGGAAAATCTGTGGAGTATGGAACAAGGTGCAGGTCACTCAGGAAGACTTACAAAGGTTCTCTGAGGTTATGCAGGGAGAAAATTAGTAGGGCTCAACTAGAATGTAATCTGGCTACTGCCGTAAAAGACAATTAAAAATGTTTCTATAAATATATTAACAGCAAAAAAAAGGACTAAGGACAATCTCAATTCTTTGTTGGATGTGGGGGGAAACATAGTGAGCTAGGATAAGGAAAAGGCTGTGGTACTGGATGGCTTCCTTACATCCATCTTTAATAGTAGAGACCAGTTGTTCCCTGAGTTCCCAGCCCATTCAGCGGGATGACAGTGAGAAGAATGAAGCCCCCATAATGCAAAAGGAAATGTTCAGTGACCTACTACACCACTTAGACACCCATGTCTATGGGGCTGGATGGGATCCACTCAAGGGTACTGAGAAAGTTGGTGGAAGTGCTCATCGAATGACTTTCCATCATTTATCAGCAGTCTGAGCTGATAGGTGATGTCCCAGACTTGAGGTCCTGATTGGAGGTGAGTAAATGTACTGCCCACCTAGAAGAAGGGCTGGAAGAAAGATTTGGAGAACAACATGCCTGTGAGCCTGACCTTGGTGCTTGGGAAGGTAATGGAGCAGATCATCTTGAATACCATCACGTGACAGGTACAGAAGAACCAGACGATCAGGCTGAGTAAGCATGGCTTTATGAAAGGCATGTCCGGCTTGACCAACCTGATCTCCTTCAATAACAAGGTGACTCACTTAATGGATGAGAGAAAGGCTGTGAATGTTTTCTACCTGGACTACAGTAAAGCCTTGGACACTGTTTCCCACAGCATTCTGCTGGAGAAACTGTCTGCTCATGGCTTGAATGGGCAGATAAAAACTGTCTGGATGGCCGTGGCCAAAGAGATGTGTGGAATGAATTTAAATTCAGTTGGTGGCCAGTCACATGTGGTGTTCCTGGGGGCTCAGTGCTGGGGCCTGTTAACCACTGATATAGGTGAGGGGATTGAGGACACCCTCAGAAAGTTTGCAGATGACACCAAGTTGCATGGGTGTGTTGATCTTCTTGAAGGTAGGAAGGGTCTGCAGAGGGATCTGGACAGGCTGGATCGATCAGCCACTTGTATGACACTCAACAAGGCCAAATATCAGGCCCTGCACTTGGGTCACAACAACCCCAGGCAACACTCCAAGCTTAGGGAAGAGTGGCTGGAAAGCTGCCTGGGGGAAAAGGACCTGGGGGTGCTGGTGGACAGCCGACTGCACATGAGCCAGCAGTGTGTTCAGGTAGCCAAGAAGGCCAACAGAATCCTGCTTTGTACCAAAACTGGCATGAACAGCAGAACTAGGGAGGTGATCATTTGGTGTAAAATTTCACCAAAAAAATTATAATTGGGATAAACACAAAATAAGAATTGTTTATCTGAAATGTTTACAAAGCATATGCTTAGCAGTGTATGGCAGAAAACAAACAAACAAACAAACAAACAAACAAACAAACAAAACCAAACAACCCAAAAAGCAGAGCCAAGCACAACAAAGAAACAGCCACAGGATTTGAAGATGAAGGCTTCTTAATCACAAGTCTGTGCCCCTGTTTCTTTTAGATTGATTCTTTACTTCAATTCCTGATACAAAATTCAAGTTACTTTGAGGGAGGGAAAAAAAAAAAAAAGTTAAAAATGACTCTGGAGCTCATTATCTTTCTACAGACTGTAGAATGATTGCATAGGTGTATAGTGATTAAAAGTAAAATTCTAAACAGTTATTTTAATGCAGGAAAAGACTGTAAGCCAGTAAGAACCACAGATAATGTTGGAATTTATAAGTCCTTTGATCCTATTTCTGTGTGTGATAATAAGATCAGCCCTGGTATTTGTTATAATCTAAAATAACTGATGCACAGAGTACCATTTTAATGACAAGAAGTTTCCCCAGGGTCACTATATGATAAAGTCGATTCCTTAGTAAGAATGTCAGGCGTATGTTGTTAACAGTGATGAAATTTGCTTTTTGCTATTTCAATTGTGGTTCAATTAGGTGATATGTGTTAACAAAACTGTTGCCATGCAACGTCATTTCAACACACCAGTTGAAGATGGTGGCACTTTTAACAGCTGTAGACTTGCACTTGATTTATTCAGTTCCTAAATTGCAACACAATACATAATGTTGAAGCATCCCAAAATAAATCTCGATATTCTGTGCTGAAATGGAATTTAATGTTCTCATGTTATGTTAAGCTTAATCTTCAAGAAGTCTAAGAGAAGGAATTGTCTTTCTCTTTGTGAAGACAGAAACTACCATCTGCTTTTCTAACAAAACTATATAGGGATCATTTTCTTGAATTTTTGAAGTGTTTATTGTACACTGAATCAATTCAAGTCTATTTTTGAAGACGGAGTAATGAAATTATGGACAGGCTTGTACCTCCTCAGGCAAAGA